TATTATATTAACTTTTAAGTTTTGATAATTACTTAATTTAAAATTTAATCTAACTGTGTAATTACACTTGTGCGACCAAACAGTAAACTTGTAATTACACTGCAATTACACTATGACAAACAAACATGTCGTCGTAATTACACAACTGTGTAATTACCAGGATGTGTAATTACTACCCTAGTAATTACACCAATTCTAATTACAGGGTGGCTTTNAAGAGTATAGTATAAAGTAAAAAGTAAAAAAAAAAAAAAAGTTTTTTTTTAGTATTTCTTATAAATCGATAAACCGAAGAGGACAAAATCGAAATCGAAATCGATAACTCGATAAGGAAAATTTCGAAATTGAAATCGATATATCGATAAACCGATAACAAATAATCGATTCGATTTATCGATAAACCGATTCGAATGCACACCCCTAGTCTGACTCCTTTACTCTTCTTCTATTAAGTTTTTAGTACGCTAATTATGGTAATGTCCATTGTTCGAAAGGTATTAGAGGCTCTAAGATTGTAGCTATGGGGTCAATGAGTAATATTTGCATGTGATGTAAGCAAGATAAATAACTTGCCAATATTTAACGACTTGATTACAAATGACTTAAATGACAAACTGTTGAACTAGAACAATATACATTACACTCTTTTTTAATCTCATTGTTCGTGTTATTTGATGCATCCCAAGTGTTTGATGATATGCCAGATATAATTAAATAATATTTATTATTTTATCATTTTGATTGATGTTCTACAACATGCTCCTCCAGTACATTATTTATTTCTATGCCAAATAATATTTATGGATTTTGTACTAAATTCAATTTAGTACAAAAACAGTCTTCTTCTTACTTCTTTGATATTTGTTCTTGGTTGAGAATATCTTGTGGTATGTAGTTGTTGGTTTTATGCATTTAATTATATTAAATACTTAAAATAGGGTGAATGGAAAATGGAGGGAAATAAAATTTTTGAGTGAAATTTTAAGTTTTCCCCCTTGGCAAAGGGACATTGTCTTATATTGGAAGAGGAAAAAGTTTTTGATGGGTATATAAGTAATTGCTCTTCTTCTAGCACATAAAGAGTTGAGAAGAAGGCAAGTCTCACGCCGTCGTCGTCGTCGCTCGGCTCGGGCTCGGCTTCGGCTTCGGTCAATCGATTGATTGATTTTTGGACCAAATTTATTTGTTAATAGTAAAATATTAACAGAAATGTTATTAAATATATGTTTTAATAACAGAATATTAATATTAAAATAAATATTAATATTAAATCCAATTCAGTTATCCAAATTTCAGTTTTCTGTTTTTGTAACAGAAAATTAACTACCCTTCAATTTTTCCTTTTTATTTTTCCTCTTTATTGTCGAGTAAATAGCCATTTATGTTATGACATTTATGTTGTGGCTGTTTTGCATAAATAGTCATTCTGAAGAGTTGCACCTCTTCAGATTCCAGCCCAACTTTGGCTATAAATACAAGACTGTTCTGCTCAGAATTTCCATACGATTTTATGAGTTTCTCCTCCTTCTTCTGCATACTTTTACCATCAAACAAAGCAACAGTAAGTGTGATTTGCTACCGAACTTTGTGTTCGCTGAAACATTGGGGTTTGTAATACCACTAGACCAGTGTGTAATTCGTTCTATCCTGGGAGGAAATAATCCACTTGGGTACTAGGAGGGGATTAAATTCCTTAAGGAAACACTGTGAATTCAGTGGGCTCGAATTGATTTTTATCTCTTTACGTTTTCTGTTTATATATTATTCTGCTTTATTTTTTCCAGAATTAGTCTACAAATACATTTTACTAACAGTAGTAATATGACAGCTATTATTTATGCTTGTGTTCAAGAAATTCATTGAAACATGTATCATTTTGTGCATCTGGTTCAATTGCAGTTTGATATTAATTACCTCGCTTTGTATTTATCAAAAAAAAAAAAAAAAGAAGATTATAGAAGGTATAATATTTCAGAATTAAACCAAAATATAAATTTTACTTCAACAAGCTAAAAAGACTTGAAACATGAATACCGACAAACAAAGAATATCTTTCTGTTCTTGCTTCTTCTTTTTTCTTTAAATCCTTGGTCTTTATTTCTTCTTTTCATTTTATTTTGGTATAGAAATTGGTAGCTCAAGGGTGTTGAAATAAAAAATATGTGGTACCTCTAATGCTAGAGATTGGTCTAACTTTGGTAATATGACTTACAATATATGGATGTCTTTGGTTGTTGAATGATAGTGTTTGCAATTGTTTTGCAGAGATTGAAGGTATGGCTTTAGTTCTTATAAGTGTTTGGCAATTCTGATATTAAAGATTTCTTCTGTATGAAGAGAACCTTTTTTTCTGTATGAATCGATATTATTCCATTCCAAATCCTTCCTGATACCTCCCAAGGAAAATCTCGAATTTGGATCCCAAATTGTCGGGTTAGTGTGAGCTTATCCATGCGGTTATGCACTCTTTGAATATGACTCCGTTTTTTGAAAGATCGTGGCTTTCGTACTTTGATGGGTCTCCGAGATCCTTTCGATGACCTATGTTGAAGGGATATCTTGGCTAGTCTGCGCTCTTTAAGGTTCTTGATACTTTAATCTTCATTAGTGCTGGCACAACTATAATTTCAAATATTTGGTGGTTTGGGGCTGCAGACAATAACAATAGTTAATAATTTGATGCTTCTAAATCGTATTTTGATTACATACGTTGTGTGTCAATCTAGAATTCAAATTGTGAAGGTGGTTTAGTGTAATATAGTTCTTATTGGTTGGTTAATAATGTGTCCAAGTCTTATTTTGATATATATTTGATGATGTTTTAATATTCTTCAATGTTGTTGCAGCTGAAATCCCCCAAATATGAGAACATATAATTCATATGGGAAATATATGTAAAGAACATAAGATGGTAGACTTAATGTATATTATCTAATAGTAGCACTATTCTTTTTGGTTGTTTGAAGTCGGCTTTGAAATTATATTTGTTGGTACTGCGAGAAAGTTCAACTATTTTCATTCTAAGATTTTCGTCGCGTTATTTGAGATTTCAAATAAAAGATGGTTTAAGATAGATGGAGCTTGCTTGCTTTAATCTTAGAACATATGTGTAATTATTGAACTCCATTTTGTGCAATTATAACTAAAGTGATTGCACTTAAAAGATCTTTTGTATATGTTGCTATCATGCAATTACACTTCAAATAATGAAGTTGTTCACAACCCTCTCCTAAAAGAAAACCAGATTAATCATGTGGTCCCGTGCATTGCACGGGTATACCTTGCTAGTAGACTTATAAGCACAATTATAACACATTATAACCAAAGATCTTAATTGCATTGAAAGGGTCTTCTAAGTCATCCAGTCAAACATTTCTATAATAGTTTCGTTTGTTTTGATATTTTTTGGCTGCTATAGTAAAGTGTTATTATAAAGGACATATATTATAACATAACATAAAACCAGTTTCGAAAAAACTTGACTTTTATAGTGAATGACTATTATATAGAGATATTGTTATAAAAAAGTTTGATTGTATATGGTAAAAAGTTTGGGCTGAGTTTAGTATTTTTATTAGTTAGTGAGCACTTTTAGTAAGTTATTTTTTAAAGGGGAAAAGGTCAAATATACTCCTCTATTTTGGTATATTGTTCACATTTATCCACTATTATACTACAGGGACATATCTACCCTTATCGTTAGCCAAACTTTTTTAAATACCATCCACCTAACGAAAGCCACCAAAATTTAAAAATACATGCTCTTTTTTAAAATCCATTAATAACCCGTTACCCCCCTTCATTTACTGTACTTCTTCCTCACATATTAGTCATCTCCTTCGTACTTATTTGTTGAACTCAAGAAGTGAAAGACATAAAAATAACGACAACCTTATATCCACTTATATATTGATTTCCGATTCTTTTAATATCCTTATTTTATGTTTATTATCTTCTACCTTTTCTAATTTCTTTTTTTTCCATCTAGTTTCTCTCTTTGCTTTTTTCCACCATGTCGAATTGATGTTGAATTGTACTAAGTATTCATCATGATTTTCTTTCCACCATGACTTGAATGTTTATAGTATGTTATTAGGTTAACAGTTTTGAAGTCTTAATGCAGCTACCGAAGTATTTCTTCCTCCAACAATGAGCCTTTGTTGATGAGTATTCACGCACCATAATTTTCTTATTCTACTTTAAGCATTTGGGCAACAAGTAATTATCGCCAAGTGACGCCTTAAGAACCAAAGTTAGATTTCAACTTATGGGATATGATACTCACAATTCTTAGTAACAATGAACTTATAATGAACACAAATTAGAAAAATAAATTAGATGAGATTCAATTTAATATCAAGCTACTGCCTAAGGAATTCATCAAGAATGAAACAAAGTACACCGACAAGTTGGAAAGCAACTTAACAACCTAAGTACTCTAACTTCATGTATTAACCAAACACAAGTATTATTAAAGTATATATCAGATGTTACCAACATACAAACCAGCTGTCAAGTGCATTACATTAGACAAAGGAAAGCTATATTATAACGATAAAAAAAAAAAAAAAAAAAAAAGTGGTAACATGACATCCTAATGCCACCATGAACAACTAATAACCAAAATATATGTTCTTACTAATCCTACTTCTAATCATTCTCGGTCTCTCTCTAAATAAATAAATATATTTAGACGTCTCAGAAATTTAGGTTCAGAATTTTTTAATGATGAGTTTAACGGGTTATGAGTTAATGAATTTTTTTAAAATGGTTATTTTATTAATCTGGTAGCTTTCCGTTGAGTGAAGGGTATTTTTAAAAAGTTTGGCTAAGGATAGATAACGGGGATAAATATGAACAATATACTAAAGTAGAGCGATATATTTGGCTGTTTTTCCTATTTTAAAACTGTAGGTCGCATTTAGAACCATCGACCTAAAAAAAAAGGGGAAAAAAAAGAGAAATAAAGGACATATCAAGTTTGACCTATTTGCATTGTCTACCCTCAGGTTTTCATAAAACTCAGCCCCCTTAAACCCTCGCTTCTCTTTCACACACTTAGCAGAAACACACACACACACACACACACACACACACACACAAATGGAGGCGGCTGCTCAAGAATCATACGAGATGGACTTAGGAAATCTCATGGCTTCATACCCACATCACAGCTTTGCTTCTCCACCTATTTCCAGGTTTCACTTTCTTAAAAAAGTTTCCTACTTTTAACATGTACTGTTATTTTCTGTGATTTTTTTTTTCTCTGTTGAAAGCTTGAATCTTTGAAAGATTTTAGAGCATTTTATTCCACCCTTTCGACAATATTTGCTTAATTTATTTTATTTTGATTTATGCGTTGATAAAGTGAAATTTTCGAAGTAAAGGGGTAGACCTAAAATCACATAAAATCGTGCAGATTTAGTTAAGAATTTAAGCATGTACTGTATTCTCTCTGCTTTTTTATACTGGAATTTGGTATCTTTGATAGGATTTAGAGCTTTTTATGCCCCCCTTTTGGACAATTTTTTATTTGTGGAGTGATAGAGTGAATTTGGATTAAAGGGATAGATCTACAAAGGGCAGCCCGTTGCCACTAAGCTCTCGCTAACAGGTTCCGGGGAAGGGCCGGACCATAAAGGTATACAGTGCGCGGTCTTTCCCTACATTTCTTAAAGGGATAGATGTAAAATCACATGAAATTGTCAAAAGTACCCTTCTTTAACATGTACTGTATTCTCTGTGCTTGTTTGTACTTTGTACTGAGCTTCAACCTTGGTTAGGTTTTAGAGCATTTTATTACACCATTTTGGATATCAGCAGAGTAGGTATATAGAGGTTTTTGATGGTCAACCCCAGCCGATTTTGGATTGAAGCATAGTTAATTGATTGATAAGTCACCTTTGTTAGTTACTTTTTCTGGTTCAGCTTCCTTTCGAGTTTCCTTCTTGGGATGTGGTCCTTAATAGTTCACTGTTGACATACCCTAATATCTCAGGGTCACAGGGACTCAATTTGAATGGAACAAGGGGCAGATCATTACCAACTTCCAAATGTCTGATTTTAAAGGCGGATTAAGCCAATTCTTTTGCAACTGTCTCAACATCATAATGGACACTCGCTATGCGAGACGTCTAGTAATCTTGCTTCAAATTGAATTGAAACGAAAAGTTGTAATCTTGCTATTTTATAGCGACCCCTTTAGCTTATACTTATGTATTTAAGATTGTTTCAAGAAGTATTTGCTTTATGCCTTTTGGCACCTAATTATTGAACAAGCCATGTTTCTATTATTGTTGATCTCTCTCTCTCTCTTTTTTTTTGGGGTGGGGTGGGTGGGTTGTGTTCAATTTAACAAGAAAGTATTTGACCTTATCTATCAAGCAAGGTGGGGAGTTCTTGGTGGGAGGGATGCCGAGGGTCTATCGGAAACAACCTCTCTACCCCAGGGTAGGGGTAAGGTCTGCGTACACACTACCCTCCCCAGACCCCACTGGTGGGATTATACTGGGTTGTTGTTGTTGTAATGAGAATGACACTCATGGAATTTCTTCTATGCTTCGTACATTCTGTCTCCTAATATGTAAGAAGTATTTCTGTTAAAGTTGTTTTTTACTTTAACACAAGGGGAAACAGAACTAGCTCATAGTCATTTGCTTTTGATGTTTTCACTAAGTTTCAATGCGAGAACACTCAACTGATTTCTTCTATTTGTCTTATATTCTTGTGCCAAATATGTAGGGAGGAGCTTGTGAAGGAGTGTCTACAGGAGGGAACCAAGTTAGTTCAAGCTATTGCAGATGCCCTCTTCAACTTACCTTCAACGGAAAGTCCCGATGGTCCTCTAGTCAAGTTGCCTCAACCAAATACGAGATTGCCTCGAGAGAAGCCTGTAAAGCCTCATTTCTATTATTGATGCAAGAATTGTGTGTTTATCTTAATCAGTTAAGAGTTGTGTGTTAGAATATGTATTTGCAACAATGAACTCATTTTTCCGGAGATTCACTATATTTTCAACAACTGACAGTATTTTCTATTAGTTGGTACTTGCTGATAAAGAATAGTTCAACCTCGTAATGTCTTGGGGGCAGCATAAGTGAAACCTCATATGTGACTCGATCTCCAAATGTGAATTGAATCTTATATGCAGCATAAGCTATGAAAATGCAATTTAACCATATCCTTATACATGCTATATATTACAATAGCTAGAGTTGGTTTTGGATCTTTTGATTTTGTTTGATTTGTCTTCTATCCTGTTGCTTGAAAGTTAACTTGTGGTATCAATAGCTTATTATGAGTTGCTTATTTCAGCTTCCAAGGCCTAAACCTCCAACAAAATGGGAAGTGTTCGCGAAGAAGAAAGGTACCGTGTGAATGTCTTGTGGTGTTTAGAACAGTTAATTCTTGATTTAATTGACTTTCATCACACCCCCTTGGGGTGCGGACCTTCCCAGGACCCTGCGTGAACGCGGGATGCTTTGTGCACCGGGCTGCCCTTTTTTTATTGACTTACATCGTTTTTTCTGTTTGAAAATGTCTTGCAGGTATACAAAAGCGTAAGAAAGACAAGGTTGTTTTTGATGAACAAACTGGTTCATGGAAGCGCCGACATGGCTATGATCGCGTAAATGATGACAAAGATGTGCCAATCATTGAAGCCAAGGAAACTGATGGTATATAAGAGAAATTTCATTCTTGCTTTGTGCAATATCTTGATTTGCTTTTAGGTCTCAAGCACGGCAAGAATTCTGAAATATAGAATTTAAAGGGTCTTAACATCCTAAAATAAATGTTTGTCTTTAAGTCAAAGTTCATTATTTCAGTTCTCAATGGATAGTGATTTTGATTGTACTCTCTTACGTCAATCAAGTCCGTACGATGATCACTATAGAGGAAAGCAACTTAATTTTGTGAACGAAGGGAAGACCATATCTGCATTAGCATTTTGACATTTCTCTGAAAATGTCCTCTCCCTGTTTGTTTTTCAGAGCCTGGTCAAGATCCTTTTGCTAAGAGACAAGAAGAAAAGAAGAAGAGAGTAGAAAAACAAGGGAAAAATCGATTAAGTAACTTGAAGGAAGCTGCAAAAGCTGGTGCCTTGCCAAGGTCTTGTTCATCTAAACTTCTCTTTGTCTTTTCTGCCAAAACCTTAATTCTTTATTAACTCCTGCCGTCTATGAAGATTAATGAGGTGTGCTGTTCCATGTCTCAAATTCTTTGTTTTGATGACTAGCTATTGAGTATCTTATTGCTTAGCAGATTTCATTCAAGAAAATTGTCAACCTCTGTTTCAATTGTCTTGAACCTTGCATCTACCTTGTTCTCTTAAAGTCATGTTGTTGATGAACGAAGATGTGTTTCTATTTGCAGTCATGTTCAGCTTGCTGCCACGGCACTGCCTATAACAGGAACACAAGCTGCACCAAGGAAAATTAGCAAGGATGAACTCGGCAATGTCGCTGGAATGGCAGCAAACGCAACAGCTAGTGGCGGAAAATTTGACAAGAAATTGCCTGGGGAAAAGCCCCTAAAACATGACAAGAAGTACCGTAAGGTTTGTATTATGGGAAGCGCATGCTTAGATTTGCTAAGTCTTGAACATATTGTATGTCTAACTCCACTTTACGTTACAATCAGTTCTTACCAGTTGCGGAAGGATCAGGCATGGGCTCTTTAGAGAAACAGCAAACCGAAAAGGTTCTAAACAAATTGATGGCCAAGAACTCCCACGAGATACTCAATGTGCAAAAGGTATTGTTTATGCTACGTTTTTCTGATGTCTCTACATATGTATCTCTTTCATTTCATTGTTCGAAGAAAATTGCTAGGTGCTAATTTTTTTTAACGATGAACATCATTTCATCGTCCGAAGAAAATTCCTAGGTGCTGATTTGTGTTAATTTGTTTTCACCTATACCACAGGCCGTAAACATGTACAATGTGAAAAAGGACAAGAACCGAAGGAACCAAGGAGGGAAGTCGTCATCAACTCCAAGCAAGTTGAAGGTGAAGAAGTCACCTTACAAGAAATCATCAACAAAAGGGCCTACTTCAATTAAGGGAAAATCCAAGTGACTTTGAAATTTCCTCATTGCAGTGTCAGTTTAAAGTTTTGATAGGTAGTACAAGCTGAAATAGTGTAAGCTTAATCAGTTCAATTGCTTATTCTTCTTTTTCACCAGCAAGAAAGTGTATAAGCTTCCTGCCACACCCAAATTATTTTTCCTTTTTTTTGGATTCAACAAAAAATTCCTAAATTTTGTCTCATGTCTCATATAGTAAGTGATGTGGAAAAGTGCAGTAGAGGGAGTATTTCTCTCTGTTTTGACATCATATCATGTGATGCAGGAACTTGTCTATTGCTGCAGTTGCCATTTAGAGGAGCAAAAATCCTCTATTTTGTGTTGATGGAGGGAAAACAATATCAATTGTCAAATTTTTTGTTGAAAAAGGAGACAATACAATTTAATGAGAAAAATTACCTGCAGAGCCAGAAAAATTTAATGAAAGGCTAACTACCAATGCTCTCTCAAGGATATGACAAATTCAAATTAAATTTGAGTTTGTATGCTAAATGCGAAGAGAAGTTATTTAACTTATATTGGTTCATTACTATAATTTCCACTATGAGAAGAACAAAATGATTAGGCATACATTGTATAGCCGCTCTAAAAATTATATATATATATATATATATATATATATATATATATATATATATATATATATATATATATATATATATGCACACAAATACACATTTCTGAATGTATATACAAAAATTATCCATATTTTATGTACTTTTGGCTATCGAATATAAATAATTTCTAGCACATGCTAAAAGTGATATTTGCTTTAGTTGACAATTAATAACTACAATTAATATAATAAATCAAAATAGTTAGATTATTTTTATGTGGCTGTTAGCTTACCACAACCTTCCCCCTTTATCGGAGGAGCATAGGAGAAGCTCAAATAGACAGTTGCTTCAAGACAACAGAACTTAAAGTTTCAACAAAAGTAGAAGCCTACAAATTGTCAGTATCTAACCAGAAACCAACTTTGAACTATATTACAAGATAAACAGAAGTAGAAACCTCAACAAATTTAAGAGAAACAATCTTAATAACTTTCCAGCACACCATATACATTGAGCTAAAGAGCCAAAGATGTCAGAGCAACGGGGAGGGTAATGTACACGCAAACCTTACCCCTACCCTGGTGGGGTAGAGGCTATTTCCGATAGACCCTCGGCTCAAGAACATAATTTACAGTTCAATTATGTCAACCAACTGCAACCATCATTTATCTAGACTCGAGATTGGCTATGTTTAACGAATCTCACAAAGGAGGACTCTAAAATGTGTACCATATATAATATATGAACAGACACATATGTAATCGTATATATCAATCCTCAAGAAAAGGAGTGGTGTTCAAAAACAAGATTTACATATATAACAATGTTCAACAGTTTAGTACCTAATACGTACCCTTGTAGGTACATTAATGAATCATCTCTTTTATAATCTCTGATATTCGTGAACTAGGAAGACAGCAGACGTTTCTCTTCCTCCTCAAGTCTTTTTAACCATCTAAATCCAAGGTCAGATCCTGCTTTTGCAGCAATTTCAAATTGTTCTCTGGCCAGCTCGATCGGATTAAGCTCAGGATCGACTGCATTCCTCCTTGATATTCTGCTTGAGGACCCCCGCTTCACTAAAAATTTCGTTATTGATTCTGGAAGTTCCACACCTGAATGATGCCACATAAATAGAGAATCTTAATTTGCTGAGAACAAAAAGTCCAATATATACATGACCGGCAGTATATCATCTTGTATCTCTATACTCAAAGAATAATCAGGAATTTCTGTGCAATAGTTACAAGTTCATGATACCTTTTCCTCTGGTTTGACCAATGTTTTGTAGTTATCATTGATCAGCATCTCCCACCTTTTTTTATTGTTTTATTTTCAGTTATTCTTCCTTCCATTCTGAGCAAGTCATATTCCCTATTAGTATACTACTCTAACTAAGATATCATGCTTTCTTTAAACTTTAAATTTTTGCTTTGTAAAATGGTATGTCAAACTGAAGCCTTTAAAAAGAGCTCGTAGATATTCCAATCACGTGCATTGCATCACTTGAATTAGCAGGAACCACAACCCATTAACAATAAAAGAGACAAAAATAAGATGAAGCGACACACAGCTAAGTTGATAACAAGAGGGGACAGTCTCACTGTTAGATGATATAAAATGTAAGAAGAGCAATGACACATCTTTTGTGTCTTTGAATTGTATATATAGCTTCTGGTATTGCATTTGTACTGATGATACATACAAATTGTTGCCTTTCTCGAAAAAAGATAACAAGTGGGGACAGTGTACCTTGCAGTAGAAGGGATCCATAAGCTATAGCTGCTCCAGCATGACCCTAGATTCAAGCAAAGAAAATTAGGTGGGGATAATTGTAGAGGCTCTTGACTTACTCGCTAGTAAATCAATTTTCTACAAGATAGAGCCAAATTACGCCAACCACAGTTTGTCAACACGAATATGCTTCCCAAATGTACTTTCTCTTTTAAGTTTAATACGAAAATCGTCTTTCAGAACAGCATATAATTTGTCATTACATAGTAGTTGTAGCATTCAACAAGCAGTAAAGTGCTCGGTACCTTCTCAGATGCTCTATGGAAACACCACAACGCAGAGCCAACATCCTTTTTCACGCAATCCCCAGTAAGATACACAGCACCTAAGAGGTAAAGTGCACCTGGATGCAACTGAAAGGAAAAAGAATTTTTTACGGCACTCAATGGGAAGATAAACTTCGGCTTTGCTAATAAAACACACACCTGGTCAACAGCCTTCTCCAAGTAGTAAAATGCTTGCTGATCTGATTGCACATACTCGTTCTGTGAAGATAATCCAATATATAAAAACAGTCAAAACTTTTAGAGAATGTCTTTAAGGCAGAATAAGAGAACAAATCGAGGGGAGACTCAATAAGGTACTCGATTATGCACTCCTAAACCAATAATCTTCTGACGGACATTATGGAGCAAAACATATATTCTTAAAACACCGAACTTATTAACCTATCAACAGAAGGGAAGTTTGTGAATGACCGAGCTGACAGAATGTTTAACACAGACTTGCCTGACATCCAAACACTAATAGCACAAAGGGGTTTCACAAAATAATTCCCCACTACTGCAATAGAGTATGTGAAAAGGCTTCAGATATGTGTTTATATTGCCCAACCAAAGTGGATAAAATAAACATTGTAAAAGCACATCGAGAAGGTGTCAGCATTAACGCCATAAAAAATGTTCATTTGTAGTTTACACTAGAGGAGTTCACAAGTCATACAACGGAAAGGGAGATCCAACAAGCTAACCTTGTTTCAGATATCAAAGTGATGTTGGCCAAATTTTGAGTTCTAAACTAAAACTAGCTGCATAGATGTTCAGATTATTTGTCACTAAACCAAGAGAGAATCTTTAACACCATACGAGCTCATAGGTGGTATAGCCATTCTTCTTGACAAAACTAATAAGAAAACCACACCTCAACTCTTAGACGGCAACCTAATTCAAATTGAGCATCTGGATCACCCATCTCCGCAGCTTCCACTAATAAAGCAGCCCCTCTGTCATTAAAAATAGGAAGAAATATTAGCTGTTAGTTTTGACAGTAATTCCTGAAAAAAGTGCTGAAAGTATTGCTCAAGTCAATTTAATTACTCCATGAAAAAGTACTGAAGATATTGCTCAAGTCAAATAATTAACAACTCGCTCATCTCATAACGAAATCAAGAAGTTACATAGACATACATATCAAGTAAGCAGCGATCAAATAAGCTGAAAAATCAATTACTCCCTCCGTCCCATAAAACGGGATGGTGTTTGATTGGCGCGGAGTTCAAGAAAGAAAGAAAGACTTTTAAGACTTGTGGTCCAAAACAAGCCATAGACATATGCGTGATTATAAGTTATCTCATTAAAGGTAAAATGAGAAGTTAAAAAGTTTAATTGTTTCTAAATATAGAAAGGTGCCAATATTTTGGGACAGACTAAAAAGGAAAGGATGCCACATAAAATGGGAATAAGAGAGTAATCAATAACTCAGTTAGGAACTTTTTAAAAACCTCAATCATACACATGATGGCTTAAGTTCAATAACATAAATTGGAAAAGCTTGAAACCTGTTAAGTGGAGCATGAAGATCTATTTGGTCCTACTTAAATGCATGCAACAATAGCACATGAACGATGATAAGTGTCTGCACTTTGCAGATGCCCGATCTTCACACCAAATAGACAAAACTTACACAGCTTTGCATGCCCCAGGGACATGGTACTTGAGATGCAGTTTTGAAAGCCAATATCTTGCATGGGTATTTGAGTTGTCTGCTTCCAGAGCCAACTCAAAATTCTCCTTTGCTGTCTAACACATAATCGGCCAATCGGAAAATATTTGATAAGTCAAAAATCCAAGAAAAAGAATATTAATGGATAAACTCTACCAAGAAATACATACTTAAGTATTACTACAAAAATATCTAACACACATACAAAAAACGAAATAGATTTAACAAATGGAAGGTACTTCTTAGTAAATGTTGATTAGATGTAAGAGAGACGTAACCACATGAGAAGGAAAGAAGCAAACAAAACATACAACGATGATATTTTGACAAGCAAAGTCGATTATAAACAGGACTGCTATTGTAATTTAGCTACCAGGCCAAAAGTGCCTGCTTCTTCCATTTCTTTGGAATACCCTCAGTTCCTTCTTTAAAAAAAAAGACTAATTGACATGCTCTGCCTCCATCTCCAAACTCAAAAGACAGCAAGAACCACAAGTCGGGTGCTTTACGAAAGAGGGATCAGAGGGTTACCTTGACTGTAGCCATGTTGGGAGCTAAGTTTACTCCAGAAAGATCAGTAGATCTACTTAACTGAACTAGCTCTTTTACAACCATCAGTAGCAACCAACTTCCATTACTTATTCAAGAAACCGAAGAAACATAATGACCAATGAGCTACTTCGTTCATGTTGCAATCTTCCAAATAGACTTACAGCAAGGATCACACACTATTCTAAGGACATAAATATGAAAACAACAATGTCTCTGGGTGTAAAACAGCACAACCCAAGATAAATGGAGATAGTAGTAAGCACTGAAGATGTAAAATCACAGACACATTAATTTCGTTCAAAAGAACCATAAATAAAAGAAGAGCAAATGTATCAAGCTATTTGCTACTAAACGTACCCTAAGTGAAGGAATGAGACGTTTGTCATTAAGCTCACAATAATCAATTACTCTATCAACTTCCTGCAGAGCATTCCACCCCTTAGCTATGTACTCCATCGCCTTCTTATTTCTGCTGTGCATTCCTCTCTATCGCAGAAACAAAAGTTAGCACTAAATGAAACTAGAATGCATATCACTACTGTCCCATAATTCGATTGACGGGATTTGAAAATTTTACCTCTAGATGGAACTGGAAAGGATGACGACAGAGCTGTTTAGTGACAGCTGGATGATAAGTAAGCTGTTTAATGACAGCCTTTAGAAGGAATGATCTAAACATTATCTGCCTGCATTAACAACCATAAGGATCTTAGTGTCAACTCATCGAAGAAAGCACTAAAGCACAAATACAAGAATCACCATCAAGGGAAACATCTAAAGATATAATTTTAGTCCAACATAAATAAAACAGATAAAAAGTGACTTTAAAAATGTGAATGCACATTAACAGTAATATGAGGGAGAATTTATAGCCAGATAGAATGAGATTCTAGATTTATTTTCATTCTCAACCATGCTCAAGTGAAGCACGCCAAAAATATTCATTGATATTCAAACACGCGAAAAGAAGACAAATCACATTGTTATATTTCACAAAGCATTTCATATCCTAACACATACAAATGACGCGTCAAATGCTCCTTGGTTATTCATCTTTAGCAATGGCCAGCGGTGGAGCCATATATTCTAACAAGGATTCAAAAAAATACTACACTCGGGATTTTCTTTATGTAAAGGGTATTCAATAAGTTCTATATAAACATGAAACATTTGTTTACCCATATGCTTAGTACAATTTTTCGGGCAAAGGGGATTCAATTAAAATTAACAGTCAGCTCTTCATGTTTTAACAAATGAATAACCTCAGACAACCAAAATTCTATATAATAACCGACAATTGTGACTCGTCAAAATCTTACAACACAGTAAAATTCTTAAGCCATTTCTTTTGGAGTTCCCAAAAACTGGTCCTGCGTGAATTTCTATTGAAAGCGTTCTATTTTTGTCGAAAAAAGTTCGCTTTTTTTTACAAGAAAATTTCCAAACTCAGTTTTACCAATCTTGCAAAAACTAAAAAACTAGTTCTATAGAATTTCAAAACAAACCCCTTAAATCTGATTTATGAATATACTCCATGTAAATTATTTTCTCAGAAAAAAAAACATTAAATTCACGTCCAGAAACAAATGGGTAACACCATAAACAACTCTATTCAACAAAGGGGGGAAAGAGAGACCTTCAATTTATAGAGAAACCAATAAATAAGGTAGTGCTGACACCAAAAAAAAAAATTCACATTTTATTGAGGAATAAAATATAATTTTAGGTGAAATTAACAGAGATATTTCCAGGAAGCATCAATCATAAGAATAAGCCCAGAAATTGGAAGCAAAGCAGCAGCTTATAGGGGTAACCAATGAAGAGGAGCAACAGAAATAGTAAAGCACTATAGTAATTTTAGTTTCCCATATCTACTAATTCTTGAATTATGAGGAAAAAATTAAGCTCCTGTACCTTCTTAGCAACTGAAGCTCGGCCAATAGTGGTCGCTCCGAACTATAAAGAAGACTGATCGCAGCTTTTCGAAAGGGACTGAAGAAAATGGAGGGCAAAGAGCGCCAATTGCCAATTCAGGCAACGGATCGGCGTTTGTCTATTGCTATTTGACAAATTGGGCAATTTGGTAGTGAGCTTCTCCTGTGTTTTCTATTTTTATTTTTTAAATTTTCTGCTCTCTTGTGTTTTCTTTTTATGGCTTATTTGGATAGTTGTTACATATGTTTCTTTTAATATAAATAGTATTTTATCGTATCCTATAGTAATGTTTTGAAAAATTGTGTCATTCTATAATATTATATACAGTCAAACCTTTCTATAACGATCTTGCTTGTTCCGGATATTTTTGAATGTTATAGTAAATTGCTGTTATAAAAAACATATATTATAATATAACATGAGATTTGGTTCCGGAAAAATTTGACTTTTATAGAGAAGTGTTGTTAAATAAGAATATTATTATAAAGAGGTCTGACTGTACCATCAATTTGTAGAATAAGCTTATAATATTATTGAAAAAAATAGAGTAGGGAGAGAATAATTATTAAAAAAAATAGGGTGAAAAGTAAAATAGAATTATAGTAGTAAGAAAAAAATAAAATAAGGAGCCGATTACACCAAATTGGTACTTACATTTGAGTGCAGAAAAAAAGAATTAGCTCAATTCGAATAGGAGAGTGAAGTCCAATACTCATTGCTTCGACATGACTAACGTTGCTTTTTGTGTATCAGTTCATTTTTTAGTGTTTCGGGGTCATGCAATACGAATTTATGCTTATATCTACTTTTTTGTGTGTATTAGTACATATTGATTTTGAAAAACTTTTTTAGCACACGCTGACTGACCTGAAATTTCATAGGTCCATATGAAACGACCTAACGACCAATACTCATATCATCACCATGACATTCGAGTTTCTTTTATGGTATTTTTACATTCCTAAGTCACATAGGAAACCTTATTACCCTCAATGTTTAAGGTTTGATTTAATTACACTTAGTATACCAAATTACCAATTCTATACCATAATGTATTTAAGGGTACAATTAATGCAACGTATATCCCTCCTTAATTCAAGGTACCGTATATCCCACCCCTCCCACGTTTTTCTCTCCCAAACCCTCACCCTCACCCAACAATGAATCGTCATTTTAGTAGAAGTGATAGACGAGGGACAAAAGGTGGTGCATCTGCTTCTCAAAAACAAATTGATGAAAGAGAGTGCTTTCTACTAGTCAAGCAAAAGATAATAAATTTCTTCTACCATCCAGTAACATTTCTATTCACCCACCAGTAAAAGAAACAGATTGCACCACCCATCAACACTACAATACTCATCATCGCTTTCAGAGAGATGGCCCAACCATCAACTCCAGGACCCAAAGAGCTTCTCAGGCTAGAAAAGTACTTCACTATGCGACCTGAGAAAATCAGAGCAACATTTGCACCAAGTCCAAACAAAGGATAGAATCTCTTAGCCTCGTCAACAGTCGTAATCTGCAAAAGAAATCACCCAAAAGACTTAAATAACAGTGATTTCCCCCCAAAACACGTTTATGTAGCTTAATTGGTATTTTCGACATAATTGCGTTTTTTGCAGAAGATTTTGTAGAAGTTTTAGTCGTTTAGATTTGTAAAAACAGAAAACAATACATCTACAATCAGAATACAAATAATCTACAATTCATCTACAAAACATCTACAAACTGGGTATATTGAATTTTAATATCCCAATTCCCATTCGATTGTAGTTTAATTGGGATTTTCGATACAATTGCGTTTTTTGCAGAAGATTTGTAGAAGTTTTAGTCGTTTTTGATTTGTGAAAATAGAAAACAAAGCATCTACAATTAGAATACAAATAATCTATAATTTATCTACAAAATATCTACAAACTGGGTACATTGAGTTTTTATATCCCAATTCCCATTCAATTGTAGCATAATTGGAATTTTTGACATAATTGCGTTTTTTCAGAAGATTTGTAGAAGTTTTAGCCGTTTTTTATTTGTGAAAACAGAAAATAAAGCATCTACAATCAGAATACAAATAATCTACAATTTATCTACAATTTCTGCAATATGTCTTCTTCTTCTTCGAGTTTCAATCTGAAATCCAGTCAAAACCAAGTCTAATCTTCACCAAAACCCCTCAAAATTGAGATATAAACTCCAAACCATATTCCCGATTATTTTCAACAACACCCAATCCAAACAAATAATGATTTTTGAAAACCCAAATTTGAATTCAAAGCTTTCAAGCTTTTTAATGGCTGTCAATGGTGGAAAATATCTGGAAGAATATTTACTTCCATAATTGTAGCGCGCCTAAATAGGAATATCTGGAAGAATATTTAGTTCCAGATTTGTAGCGCACCTAATTAGGAAGGAATCAGCTCCTAATAATTGGTATTTAATGAATGGTATATATTTTATAGAATAATTGTGAACATGGCGGGTAAATATGAAACTATGCACATTTTTGGTAATAAGGTTTCATATATGGTATAGGAAGGAAAAATGGATTTTATTCTACTATAAGGATTTGGTTTCACAGAAATAGTAGCTTGATATTATGGGAGTATTATTCTCAATGTATCCAAGCGAATAGTCATGACGAGGGCACCTAGGGATGTGGCCTAACAGTCAATAAAGCGAATTCAAACTTGGAAAATCGAGGTTCAAATATCGACAGAGATAAAGTGATTCTTCCCATATGCCTAAGTCTTGGTGGATAGAGTTACTAGTACCTGTGCTGGTGGGAAGTAGCATGTCCGGTGGAATAGATGTGGTGCTTACAAACCGGCTAGGACACCACTTGTTATCACCAAAAAGTGTGAGTCGTGGCATAGTTCATGAGGGGAACAATTTACTCTTTGTTCAGCATGTATGTTGCAAAATATTATAGAATCCAATGCACTTTTGAAACACTATCAAAACTTACAAATATTTACTTCATTTAAAACTAATCGTTCAAAAGAAACTTTGAACTACTGCAATGGATCTGAATGGTTCATTACCCGTATACACCTTGCGCTATATGCACCTTCAGCTAAGTCAGTGGGACGTAAATTTTGTCATTGTTAACCCAACGTATCTAATCTGTACGAAGCAAATCAGTTTGCGGCTTGAATGTCCCGAGAACCAAATATGGAAGTATAACCATGCAAGCCATGAATAGAGTGAACTGCAAAACATTGAAGTCAAGGCAATAATGTTCAATCAGAAGTGAGAAACTGCTAAGACAGACAGGAAATGGAAAGGAAGAGGTAATACTCTAAAATGCAGTGATTATAAAAGCGAAAAAGCACAAAAATGCGACAAGGTCCAGGGGCTTTAAAGCGAGAAGTGAAGCGCACAATTTACAGAAATTAAAAAATATCAAACAATGTTACAACAACAACAACCCAGTAATATCCCACGTGTGGGGTTTGGGGAGGGCAGTGTGTACGCCGACCTTACCCCTACCCCGGGAGGTAGAGAGGCTGTTTCTGAAAGACCCTCGGCACAAGGAGATGGAAAAGAGGCAATGGAACAATAACAACCACAAACATCAGGAATCAGAAAAATAAATGAAAAAGGCAGTAATTGAATTTCTATTAAAATAACTAATTTTAGCATCTAATATACAATAATGCCGAGATTAATCCAACTCTTTAAAACCATCCTTAAAACTGAAATTCAAAGAAGTTTCTGATTCTTGTTGAATGTGCACCATTATTTGAAGCACAAACTTATCTAAAGTACATGGCTTCACCTATGAAGCCATAATCTCTCGCTTTGCAACGGTTCGTCATTTTAAGAAACGAAGCAATGGCTTTCAATGACATTGCTTGAACGATATGTTGAATAAACATTTTTCGTTTCTGCCTTTGGTAGGCAACTGTTATTGGTTCTCTTACATGATTCATCGAAAACTAAAAGTTATTTGAAGTTGGTCAACTGTATACTGGTTAAACATAAAATAAATAACGTGTAGCTAAGTTCAGGTCATACCACAAGAGGAAGGGTCAACAAGCTCCAAATAGGCCACAGAGCATAACAGAACCTGAAACAAACGACTCGTAAATCTCATTTGATATAGAAGTTTGAAACTATTTCTGTGTATTACTATTTGGATGCACAAATAATTCACGCGATCATTATATATCTTACAATAGGAAAGACAGCAGCCCAAGCACAGTGATGAAGGGAAGGGCAGCTGTACTGGAAATCTCCCACTTCTCATATGACTTCCGGACGCCCAAAGCCAACATACTTGTATATAAGAAAAACATAACATTCAAACCTACACCAAACATCCCAATGTATAGTGGTATTCTGCAACAAAAATGTTAAGAATCGATGAATAAAGCTTCCAATTTATGGCCAAAATGTGCAAGTTTTCTCAAAGCATTATCGCTGAAAAAGTCAAGCAGCTTTAGTAATTCCTAGATATCTCATGCATCTTACTAACAGGCTAACAGCTGCAGCTTACTAAGTTATAAAAGGATGCTTACGTGAAAGAACAGAGTGGATATCTGTTTATTTTGGTATCTGTAATTCAAAAAGTGATCCTTAAACGGAAGCGAAATTTACATGGTCCAATAGCATTAGTGGTTGAAGAAACTAATTAGGCATTTGGTGAGCTCTATATATGAATCCGAAAAATTTCCAAACTACATATATGCTATATTTTTCCTTGTATTCCTACACATGTACTATTTTATTTCTTCGATCTAGAGTGAATTAGAAGTTGGAGGAAGAGAGCTTATATATTCATTACCATGGTATATTTCAAATTATCTTACCATTGCGTGCACACTCTTGCTAGGAAAAATGACACACCTAATGTAGTGTTTCTCCATCTCTGAATGTAATGCAGCAAAAGAGGAGGTTTCAAAGGTTACTACCAAAATGTCATGATTCAACGCAAGAAGAAAATTGGTACTTAAGACAGGTGCATTTTCAACTCAGTAAAAGAGTCCAATGGAGCCAATCCAAAGAAAAAAGATGCAAAACCATTGAAAAGATGACTAAAAATTATAAGTGTACCTAGACATTTCTGACATCTAATAATTGGAGCGTCTCTAACATTAAAGTAAGTTACTTAAAGCACCAGAATTTGCTTATCATTTTCGCTATGCTACAGGATAAAAGCAGTATAAACAAGTATACCATTTCAAACAAAGAAAAAGGTTGTTAGGAAATCTTTCAACTAATAATTCGAAACAATATTTGACATGGTTTACGTATGCAAGTGTAAAAACAACCAATCCAATTCAAGAAGCACAGTAGCCAAAAGATTAGCTAAATCTACTCACATCATGTGAGTTAACTAAAAACATCAAGAAGAGCAATAAGCCAACAATTGAGGCAGTAGTATATACTACGTGGACAACAATTAAACTACACCATTTTTACTAATACTTGTTTGGAATTGAGATTAGATGTTTTTTTTCTCTTCAAAAAATAACCGATCATTCCATGTTTATTTACTTATCATTCTCTTTTTGCCCTCTTTCCCTTTTAGGTGAGCAAAACATTTATGCTATTCAGTCAAACTTCTCTATAACAGTCATCTTTTATAACAACACTTCACTATAACACCAAGTTTTCTTTGGAACCAATTTTCATGTTACGTTATAATACATGTACTCTATAAAATGTCCAGAACTAACAAGGCAATTACAAGGTTGTTATAGAGAGGATTGACTGTATATGGAATAGCAAATAGGTTACTCTAAAGTAATCTAAGTCAAAGGAGAAATTGAACTTGTAGGCTTACCTCCTAATTCGACCATCATGCCACAAAAGGAAAATCAAATTGTGATGCCAATCACCATAGTATACAATGAATAATGCAGAAGCAATCCAAAGAAAATTCTCTAAGATCTCAGTCCATGTCCTTGTCCTGGGAATTGGAATTGTTTGTGATTGCGAAACGAACCTAGAACAAGCATCATCCTCAAGATCATCACCACTCGAACCATACCCTTGACTTAGCCTCTGCCTCACATATCCACCACCACCAACTGGTGTTCCACCAGACATATTAACACAAAATTATTCTATACCAAAAAAAATCAACAAATTTCTCTTTCTTGTAACTCCTTCAAGTTAGTATCTCATAAGTCAATTTAACTGAAAAAGCCAATCAAACAAACCAGCTCCCAGCAAAAAAAAATCTCCAAATTTTCTATAAAACCTAAAAAAAATCTAACCCCAATTCACTTGTAAAGAATCAAAAAATTCCAACTATATAACAATAAAAGGTAACTGTATCTCCCACCAGTTACCAAATTGCAGCTCATTCAACTAAACCCTACATGCCCACTCGAATCAAGATTCATACAAGACTTAACTAAATGGTCCAATCTCTAAAACCCATATCAAGAATACAAAATTCTCATAAACCAAAATCAAAAATCAAAACTTTTTGACAACCCAATTCATAAAATAGCAAGATTATTACTATAAATCAAGAAACCCCATCAGTACCAGAAAAAGGAGAACTCTTTAGGTCAATTCTCGAATACCCAAAACGTAAAAACCCAAAGGTTTTTTCACATTAGAGTAATCAATGAACAATTAATGCATATAAGCACAACAAGTGCTGTTACTAATGACAAGAAAAGAAGACAATAAATGGTTTTTAAGAGACTTCGGTTGGGCTTTTTTGGTTTGTAGAGAGAGAGAGAGAGAGAGAGAGAGAGAGAGAGAGAAAGAGATCTGCGCATGTAAGTTGAGAGTAGTGAAGAGATAGACAGTTGGGGTAATGCCAGATTCGTTTCTTGTACCTTAGGTAGAATGTTTTTGATTGAAACCTTTTTAAAATATATACTTCCTTTATTAGATTCACTTTTGGAAAATTTAAAATATTTAGTTTAAGTTTATTGCAGTAAATATTAGAAATCACTTTTCCATATCTTAATTTTTATTGTTTTATTTTTTTTGGGTTTTCACCTTATGTTTCGTGCCGGGACCCCAATTTGTTACGAAATATATGTATTTTTAGCCGCTCACAAAATAATAATTAATAAAATATATAAGTTTTTAATATACCGCATAGGCTCGCTAAAAAGAAAAAAAATTCTGTATTAAGTTAAATTGTTATTTATTACGATAGGCTTTTTCTCTTTTATTTTACAAAATAATTTTTATCTATCAAATATGTAAAGGGGTAGGGGAGGAGATTATTTTTACATAGTTAGCAAGAAATTAAGAAAGATCTAATTGATTTGTAGTCACTTTTGATTATAAAATTTGAACTCGCGACATTATAATTTGAGTTGTAATCTCTAGAGATGAATTGTTCCCTTAATAACGAAAGAAAAATGGAGTTAAAACTAGCAAAATTAATCACGTTTATGGTGGTTTTATTTCGATAACAAATTTATTTGTAATATTATTTCGTCACAGTATTTGTTCTCCGTCGTTGAAAATATTGATGATTAATCACTAATAAAACTATAAAAATAGGGTCTCATTGTGAAACATATAAAAAAAATTATAAGTATTTTGCCTAATTATGCATCTTAAGGGAGATAACTCCATTATACCAAAAAAAAAAAAAAATTAACACATTGGGATTAGCTTAAAATTCAATATAATATGTGACTGCTCCTAACGGAAACTAACTTTATGGCATAAATAAAATAAAGTAGTTTTGTGACATCAGAGATGTTTTGAGATATAATAATGTATTTGGGTGGAGACAAGAATTAAAATTTTAAAATAGTAGGACCATATTGCCTTTTGTGCCATGGCAAGAGTAATGTTCAAAGTAAGCAAGCTTTGCTTGCCCACAACTCCACTCCTTTATAAAAGTTTATTTTTTCAATTGTCCACTTGAGCCTACAAAAACCACCTCCCCACAAATATGGAAGGCCATCAAGGACCTTTTCATAATTTCATTATCTAATTTAAAAATATTATTGTTAAACAAAGCTTAAGCAGATGGACTTTTTGAGGACCTACATATGGTAAATAACTATTTGAATAAAATTAAAGTGAGAATACGTATTACTAAACTATAACTAAATGATAGATGTATATATGAGAGATATATCTATTTCATTCATTAATTTGGTATAAATATAGAGTTTGCTTAAATTCTTACTGCCTATGTATACTTTGTAGAATGAAACTTGGAAGTCAGCTTTTCTCCATATATGTCATTACCTCTTTGGATAATGTAACAATAAAAAGAAGGAAAAAAAATGCAGTTCGATGCACAAAGTATCCCCATTCACGCAGGATCCGAGGAAATATCGCATATTAAAGGGTGTAATGTAGACAGCATACCTTAATGCTGCGTACCCCCTTCCCACATAGATACAACTTTAGTGTTGCTCCAAGACTTCCCTTTAATAATATAATAATAAGTTGAAAAGAAAAAGAAAAAAAGATAATATAATAATAGTAACAACTGCAAATGGGTATACTAAATATTGGTTTTAAGATAGATTTGAGTGGAGTTCATGTTGATGAAGCTTCTCTTCTTAGTGGTTTAGAGGTCTTGTCAGAAATTGTATCTTATTTATTGTGATGAAGTGTTTGGTTTTTCTCTAATAAGCCTTGCTGAATATGATGATTTAGATAAAGACAAATGAAAGAGACCTAATTAAAATGCAAACTCCACTCTTTACAGCCACAAAAGGGGAGGTTTCTTGATTAAGCTTCTTTCTGTATGTTTTGATGATTGATAACTGCCAAAACTTTGACTTGAAAAATAGGAACTTGAAATTTTTTCTTCTCACCAAATCAGACTAAAAATTGTTTTTAGTTGCAAAATGATGTATGCATTAAGTGGTTTTTGCAAGAATTGTAAGCAAGAGAACAATTTATTTACACAAAGGAGAACAAGAAAACAGTATATTGCACACTCAAGTACCTAAAGTTTCACCAACAGATGGAATTAAACTGACAAACAATTTACTTGGCAAATTGGATCCACAATGATTTAACTATGACCTATAGGATGTACGATATTGTCAGCTATACAATCTGTACAGATAATACTTCTTCGAATGGGGAAGTTCTTTTCACTAAACAGTAGAGTTCTAGTTGCAACAACACTATTTAAAAGGAGATAGAAAAACTTCTGGATCGTGGACTCGGGAATTTGAAAATCTGCTAGTCAATTACAGGTACAAAAAGTTTCAGACAATTCAATGGCCTGCAGTACTACTTAGGCTAACCATATCCATTAAGGTCGAGTATAACACTTCCAAAGATAAGTAACCTAGAAATTTCCTTGTTTCTGATTCACCGTTGTTCATGTCCATATTAAGTTTGCTTTCTTCAGAGAATCCGTCGTCCATCACCAACCACCATGAAATACATCCTTGAAGATCTTCAGGGTCCACATGCGCCACCAGACAGAGTGTTTCTCCTTGCTCTAGCTCAAATGACAAGGATAAGAAGTCCCTGTTTGCTTTGATACCAACCATAAGCGCTTCCTCGTGAAGCCACCGTATCACCTGGCTGGCAACCTGTGGCAGAAATTAATAGCTTGAATTAAGGATATGTTGATGACCGCGTTTCTGCAAGAAGGAAGTGGCATAGCCTTCTAATGTAGATTGTATACGATTTGTTAGTAGAAAAGGGAGGGTACAATTTTGGTGCTTTTTGTATTAACCAAGAGATCTCCGAGGGCCAATTGGCGCACGGTCCGAAACTTGGTGGATAATACGTACCCCTCTATCCTTCTCCAATTAAATATTAGGTTTTTGTCTGTAATATCGTGTCATAAATCTTCCAAGAAATAAAACAACAAAAAAAGATAGGCAAAATACCTTAAAACCCCCCTAAACTTGACACGAATTATTAGTTACAGCCTTAAACTATTCGTGGTCTTAACTACTCCCTTCAACTTGGCCTTTTGAGAGCCATTACCCCCTGGACGTTGATGTGGAAAAAAATGTGGGTGCACGCACGTGGATTTTTCTGTATATGTGGCATTTTTTTTGAAAAATATAATATAATTTTACCTTTTCAAGAATGTTACTTTTTTAGATAATTTTTTTCGAATACCATTTATAATAAAACTTGGATAGAACTACATTATTTAGGCNATATATATATATATATATATATATATATATATATATATATATATNATAAATAGTCAAGGCATCTACAAAGTTATAAAAAATACATAGTTTGAACTTAATTATTTTGGCTATAATTTTTTATATAGCTCTAAATTACGGTGCTCTAAAAATATATTATTATTTTTTTACAAATTTTACCTGAAAGGGTAAAAATACACAGTTGAAATATATAGTCATTGTATCAAAAGAAGAAATAAAAGGAGTCTACAATTGCAGTATAATGCAAGTGATTCGTTTTATTTCTTTAATTGTACACTCTTTTTATTTCTTCTTTTGATGCAATGACTATTCATTTCAATTGTGTATTTTTACTTTTTCAGGTAAAATATGTAAAAATATATATTTTTAGAGCACCGTATTTAGAGCTATATAAAAATTATAGCCAAAATAATTAATTTCAAACTATGTATTTTTTATAACTTTTTAGATGCCTTGACTATTTATTTCAATTGTATAAATCTTTATTTTCAGGTCAAATTCAAAAAACGATTAACTAAAACTTTATTATTTTTTGCCAAATAAAACAATTTAGCCTAAATAATGTAGTTCTATCCAAGTTTATTATAAATTGTATTCGGAAAAAAAAAAGTAACATACTTAAAAAGGTAAAAATATATTTTATTTTTCAGAAAAATGCCACATATACAGAAAAATCCACGTGGCAGGCGAGTGCACCCACACTCTTTGCCACGTCAGCGTCCAGGGGGTAATGGTTCTCAAAAGGCCAAGTTGAGGGGGGTAATTAAGACCACGAATAGTTTAAGGCTGTAACTAATAATCCGTGTCAAGTTTAGGGAGGTTTTAAGGTATTTTGCCAAAAAGATTCAAAGAACTTGGATGGTTCGACGCAATCACAGAAAAGTAAGAGGAGCAAGTTCTAGGAAGAACAGAAGTTTATCAGGCCAGAAAATGAACTCTTTTTCCTAGTATGTTAAACTTTCAGATATTAAAACACAATAGTAAAAGGAGGAGGAGGAGGACACAGACCTGCTGCAACAGTATCATTGGAAGATCTGACAAGTCACAGTCATATCTGTTCATGGGGCACGTAATATCAGGCTTCCCTTTGAAGAGGCCCACAACATTAGGAGCACCTTCCCCTTCCAGACTGATGCAATCATCACGTACCATGACTTTCGTACGAAAGTGAGATTTCACATTCTTTACATAGTCAGATGAGTGAGATAGGCTTCCTGCGTGGAGAACCGAATCAGGTACTTTCATGGAGAGAGTCCATGATGATCTTCGAGAATGCCAACTGGGATGCGATATCAACTGGACATATGGTATCCTGCTAACCTACAGATAGAACAAGAAATTCTTGAGATACATAATGATTACATTGCCTGGCAGCTTATAAACCCAAAGAGGTAAGGTCATACCAGACTTTCAAGCTCCGCAAGGACTTTGTTTGAGAAGATCCTATGAGCTAGAGAGACGCAGAAATGTCCCAAAAGATTAGGGCCATCTTTCGTGGGCGTAGCAGACGTTTGAGTTTTACCCAAAGATGATAATCTCTTTTTGGCTTTTATAAACACATGTTCATGAAAAATTTGTTGCAAATAAATTTCAAAGCTAATTCGATTGGGAAACCCCAACTTCTTAAAGTCAAGTTTCCCTTCATCAAGCTTTGAAGCATCAACTGATTCAAGAGGCACAATAGCAGTTTCAGA